CGTTTGCACATATTCTGCATGTACTCTCATAATAATTAAACAACAACCAATTTTTAGTAAAAAAGCTGTAATATACTAAAAGTATTTATTTGTTTGAACGTGCGCACTCTAACTGCGCATATCTTGAGTGTAAATAACGTGTAAATTTAGTGGAAAGTGCATTATATATTGTGAAATAGTCCCATAGAAGTTGGTTAAAATTACAAACTTTAATAACAAATTACTCAAAAACTATGAGGATCCGCGCTTTCAAACTTTACCATTCTCAAATTTTCCCTAAAAGATGATTTTATTTATTTAAAAAAATTGCAAAACTGTTTGAAATATTTTGTTTGAGTACTTTTGAGTACAATTACAATCGGTTATTTTCTAGCGATACTTTGAGTAGCATCGAGTACCCCCTTCGATGTTCTAAAATGAGTACTGGCATCGAGTAACTGGTGGTATCGGACGAACACTATATGTAAGTAACAATTGAGGAATGAATGAGAGATTTATGTATGTAAGTAACAATTTAGGACTGAATGAGAAATTTATGTAAGTGGACTGTATGACTTATTTTAAGTTTATATAATTCAAGATGAAATTCATGATATAACATTAAGCGTTAATCTTAGATATTTCAATGAGAAAAATATTATCAGTACAATGGGAAATTATATTTACATATATACGCATAGGTGTTTAGATGAAAAGCAATAATTGTATGAAATGGATGTTATACTTATGAGTGTTGTTGAACGGTAATGAAAATGGTAATTCCCACGATGTAAGAATATAGATATATAAGTGCCAAGTTCCCACGTTGTGGTAAAGAAAAAGGCGAGTAAACTTCCTACGTTGCTTGCGTGTGCTCTGGTCTCCGGATGAAGAGGTAAGAAGAAGGATGGTAAGGCGGAAGTTATATTTATAGGCCACACAGTAAAGGCGAATTCAGTGTGTCTGCTGGTAACTTCAAATTCATTTTTCGAACTTCCAACTAAAGCAGGGATGCTTGTAGTGTGGAAGTCCTGCAGGGATGCATTTACGCAAGAAATTTATGAACGCAAGTCACGTAAGAACTTTAAGTGAGCGCAAGTCACTTAAACATGCCGGCCCCGTTGTACCGGTGCAAGTGCAGTTCGCATGCGGTTCAACGCCCGGATTGCTCGATCCAGTTCGATGTGCACTCTGGCATCCATTGGTCGCGTTGGTGGTTGTCAGACCTGAACCGGAGCTGCCTTTTCTTCGGGTGTCGGACGGTGTAAGAGAGGGTGAAGCATTTGCTTGCATATCTTACACCTGCCGGACGAGTGGCAAGCTCTTACGTGGCTATGGGTGCGGGCCAAACAGTTAAGGCAGTAATCCAAGAACCGGACCTTTACTCGACGCTCCTCCACTCCCATGCGTTGGAACTCCGGACAGAACCGTAGGGCATGGTAGCGGAAACAAATCAAGCACTGATGCACATTGGGGTCTCGAGGTGCACGTGACGGTCTTGTGGTACGCGGTGCATGGGCGTTCTGGTCTCTGGAAAGGAGATTTGCTTTAGTGAAAGGTTTAAAATAAAAAAAATATGGTTAAGCGATGAAGTGACAAGAGATATGGGTTGCAGTCAGGGTTGCGGTCGTGAGATGTCTGTCTCAGTCGGAAGAGGGCATAGTTTGACGATTGGTCTTGTTAAAATGCCATGTTGGGTTCGAACGTCTGCAACGCGGACTTTATTGTCAGAGCCATGGTAAACCCTCTCAATTCGGCCTAAACGCCATTCATTTGGAGGTAGCAATTCATTCTTTATGACCACGAAGTCGCCAATCGCTAGATTTTGATGCGGAAGTTTCCATTTATATCTTTGATGTAATTCTTTAAGATATTCGTTCTTCCAGCGTTGACTAAATTGCTGATGCAACAACTTCAATTTCTCCCACCGATTTTGAAGCAAAAGGTTGTCAATTTGGGGTTCTGGCGGTGCAAGCAAAGGAGCTCCACGCAAGAAATGACCAGGCGTTAGGGCCAAAAGCTCTTGAGGATTATCTGACATGGGTGAAAGTGGTCGAGAATTTAATACTCCTTCAATGCGAGCCAGTAATGGGGCGAGCTCCTCAAATGTGAAATGAGTACTACCGGCAATTCTTTTGAAATGAAGTTTGAAACTCTTGACGGCTGCCTCCCAGAGGCCACCCATATGAGGAGCGTTTTGTGGTAAGAACTGCCATTCAAACCCTTGTTGGGAATATTGGGATCGTACGTCATCTGATGACTCTTTGAGGAATCTTTTGAAATCTTGTCGGTAAGCTCGACTGGCGCCTACAAAGTTTTTTCCGTTATCGGAAGATACGCGTTGTGGGAGACCACGTTTTCCAACGCAACGGGAGAATGTTGCTTGAAAGGCTTTAGTCGAGAGATCGGAACACGGCTATAAGTGGATGGCTTTAGTCATCATATCCTTTCAGCATCGGTGATTTTCAGAGTGGTGATGATTTGATATCGAAAGGACCGGCAAAGTCAAGACCGGTGTATGTGAAAGGCAGGGAGAAGTTTGAACGTTCGCCATTATTTGCGATCTAATGTTTTGTTTGAAAATCGTGAATGTTTTGCAGTTGCGTATGCAAGACTTTACTTTCGACTTGAGTCTAGGGATGAAATATTCTTGCCTTACAGTCCTGATCATCAGTTGGTACTCTGCGTGCATCAACAAATTATGTAAAAATTTAAGAAATAACAAACAGAATCTACTCGATTCCGGTATAATAATAGGATATCTCTCATTGTACGGGAGGAAGGAGTTTGCCAAGCGGCCATTTACTCGGAGGAGCCCATTTGGATCTATAAAGGGGTTTAACGACAAAAGCGAACTCTTTTTGGGAATTGGTTGTTTATTCGAAAGCTTTGAATGTTCAGTTGAGTAATGCCTTTTTTGAGCTAGTTTTATAAGGCGTTTCTTAACCCAATGAGTAATTACTACCGACTCAATTGATAGTTGGTTCTGACGCTGTTGGCTTTAATCGGTGCATAAATCGAAACATATTAGCAATCACATGCAAGGATTTCGGCCAAGATGAGAAACGGTCTAATATATCAGGTTCGTTTTCTAACTTATGTAGTGATTCGACTTTGCGTTCTTCTGGAGGAGGGATCTTCTGTCGGAATGATACAGGCCTTTGGTCGGGTGGCTTCAAAAGCCAATCTGGTCCATGCTACCAAAATGGTTGACTAATTAAGTCTTGCTGCCTGCAGCCTCGTGTTCCAAGATCTGCGGGATTGTGATGGGTGGATACGTGTCGCCACGTAATGTTTCCAACATTCTGGATAATTTGCGAAGTGCGATTTGCCACGTACACTTTCCAAGTACATGGCTTTTCCAGCCAGGAAAGGACTATAGACGAATCCGACCACAAGAAAATTTCTCTTTTACCCAACGGGAGTTGGTTTACAACATTTTTAATGCATTTAGAAAGAAGAACTGCCCCACAGAGTTCCAACCGCGGAAGACTAACTGTTTGCAAGGGTGCAACTTTGGTTTTTTGAGAATAACAGGTGAGAAGAAGTGGAATTATTTGTTTGAGTTGTGATATAAATTGATGCACAAAAGGCCTTTTCTGACGCATCCGTGAATTTGAACTATTTGACTTGGTGCGAATCCTGTCCATCTTGGGATTTGAATTTTTTCTACACTGGGTAGGTCAGAGATGAATTGGTTCCACTTTTGAAGAGAGGAAGGTTTTACACATTCGTCCCACTCAGTGTCTTGTAACCATATTTGTTGCAAGAGTATTTTTGCCTAAATAATAATAGGCGATAGCCACCCTGCGGGGTCAAAAAGTTTCGAAACCGATGATAAAATTTGCCGCTTTGTAGCGATAGAGTATCAAAAAGAGTCGTTTAAGGCATGCCATCGGATACTAAGCGTTTTAGTAGAACTAGAGCAATCAAATTTTAGGAAATCCGAGTCAAGCAAGTCTTCAGCTGGTATATGACTGAGTATTTCAGTGTGATTAGCAGTAATTTTCTGCAAGGGGAAACCAGTTGAGAGTAAGCCTTGAATTAATTGAGTCTGAGCATTTATACAAGAGGGGATATCGTGCCCGCCTGACAGTATATCATCGACATACGTTTCCTTTGTCAGGATTCTTTGGGCTAGAGGATAAGAAGTTTTTGAATCGTTTGCCAACTGGTGCAAAGTTCGAATGGCTAGATATGGAGCGCAATTAACTCCAAAGGTGACGGTTTTAAGGGCAAAGTCCGTGAGTTTAGTCTCGTGGTGTCTACGAAAGAGAATTCTTTGATACTGTTGATCATCTTCGTGTAGAAGGATTTGGCGGTACATCTTTTGTATGTCCCGTTGAAGACATATTTGTACAATCGCCAATTCAAAATGACAAACATGAGATCAGATTGCAAGGTGGGGCCGGTATGGAGAATGTCTTTAAGGGAAGTGCCTGACGCTGGTTTAGAGGCGTTAAATACCACACGAACTTTGGTGGATTTACTACCGGGTTTAACAACTGAATGATGAGGGAGATGATATGAGAAATATTTGCCATCTTTATGGATTTCATAGGGAGTGATTGGTTTCATATGATATAGGGATAGATACTCTTCTAATACTCGATTATATTCTTCTTTGAGATCGGGGTTTTTATTAAGCGTGTGTTCCATTCGAATCGTTTGATTTATTGCTTGCGAACGAGATGGACCGAGAGTGAGGTTAGCAGGAAACTCGCATTTAAATGGCAATCTGACTAAGTACATATCGTCCATCACTTTGCCGATAGGTGGTGTCTTGATAAAATTTTTCGCAAAATGCATCAGCATCGGAAGGTGGATGGGATTCAGTTATTTCTTCGGTTTCCAGAAAAGTTTAAGTTGAGAGTTGAGATTTTCGTTTGAGTCTTCAACAACATGAATGTGAAAACTGGAGCACTTAATTGATTTCAATGGCGCACTTAAATACCAACCAAAAA